ACTCCCTGGAACGAGAAAGGACTTTGTTCAGGGTTGTTTCTGCAGTGCCCGACTAAGGCGGTGGAGTGGCATCTCCTGCAGCCTCTCTGTGAAGCGCTAATCTGAACAGACAAAAATAGCTTTGCTTTATACTTCTCAAAGAGGTTCTGGGTTAGCTGTTTCTGCTTGTGGTGCCGGGCGTTAGGAGCAAGTCTAATCTCTCTCGTATCAGGCACTGTGTTGGGCATCCGCTGTGGGTGAGGTCCTTCAGCGGCCTCCTGGCGACGCTGGCAGGGGCGTTCCGGCACCAAGATGGCGGCGGGCGGCAAGTTAAAGACCCTGGGGCGGACTGGTTCTGGTTGCTAGTGGGGCTGCAGGCGGTGAGAAGCCGTTCTGGTTTATTGGCGCTCGGGCTGAGTGCGGCTGCGGTTTCCTAAGGGAGTGTGTAAGGCGGGATGGGGCGGGAGCGAGACGTGTCCCGTAGCGGGAGGCGGAGGCAGCGGGGCTTGCCCTGCCTATCCTATGCCCGAGGCGTCGTCCCTCCCCTGCCTCTGTGGCCGTCTCTTTTGCTCTCTGTGTCGGAGACTGTTCTCTGCTGCTGCCTTTACTGCTCCAGACTTCGAGGGCCGCGTTTTGAAGCGTGAGCACCCCTCCGTCTTGTTCCTCGCCTCGGCCCCGGTTTGCCTTATGAGTGGGAAAACGTGGCGATCGCTGCGGGTGTTGCAGTGACTCTTGAAATACATTTACAGGCTTCTTAGCCCCTTTTTTTATGGTACTTATGTGTTGTTATAAATCTCGTGACCCGGGTTGTCCTTAGTTACAAAATTAAGAACCGGTTTGCAAAGTGAAGCTAGGTGGCTTTTGATTTCTAACTGAAGGCTGTCCTGTGAAGGCTGGCCGTCAAGGTTTTCCAGGCAGGACAGCGTTCTCTGTTTTAGTGCACCTGATGCCCTTGAAGTTCTCACCCAGCTGTGGTACAGAGACATGAGGTTATACAAAAGACCTGTTCCAGTGTTTCCAATATCTATTAAGTACTTCCTAAAGCAACTTGTATTGATGCTGCATTTGCTTTAATTATCTAAATTACCTAATTAGCTTTCACATTATCTAATGTGAAAGCAAAGCAGTCGTATAATGTGTATTTGTAGTCAAAGCTTTAAAGGAGAGCATGCAGCGGAAATGAGGCACATCGCTGGCTAAATAGCTGAAATTATCTTGTTCTGATGGGAAATTAGCTTCTGAAGTGTGAGGGTTCTTTTCTAATCCTAAACAGAAATATTTATTATGATTAGTATACTTATTATTTCAGGATAGTACAACAGTTACAGTACTAAAAATTGAGGGAAAATATTAGGGAGAGCCAGTTTCTTCCCCCCTGCCTTTTTTTTGTCCCCCTCTTCTCCCTCCCTGTGGTTTTATTCTGAAGCTGTTTTGAGCTTCTTGTGTAACCAGAACTACTTCACTGAGGAATTCTGTTGCAATGGAGACTTTACTTGCTTTCATACAGTTTTTTGGTTGGTTCTGCTGCCCAAAAAGCCAGAGTATTGACTCTATATATGTCTCTGCTGGGGAAAGGTGTGAGCAGCATTGCTGGTGGAAACAACACGACAATGCCAGTAATACCATTTTTACTCCCAGGTGAACAGATACAAAAGTGAGGAAAAGATGACATTTTAAAGCATAAAAGGGGTGGATGGCAAGCAGCAAGGTGCCAGAAAACTGTTGTAGCTATCATCATCATTAATTTAATAAGTGAACAGTAATTAAAGTGTAGCTTTGGCGGTGTTTGGAATCCTCCTTAGATTTTCTATACTACTGTGGTGGCATTATATTTCTTATTGCCAGTATCCCTCAGAAAGGATAAATAATAGACTGCTCCAGTAGAACAGGGTTCCATTTTTGCTTCCATGCTGTCACATATAGATATTACTTTAGCAATGTCCTGTAGGAAGAAGAAAAATAGCTTTCTGCCTGACAGAATAGTAATTTCAAAATAATTTTCCATACATCATACTTTTGTGTTTGTGCTTTAACTTTTTTTAGCAGATAGAGAGAAACAGAATAATGAGGCACCTAATATATTTTCTACCAATTCCTAATCCATAACACTTCCTATCTATCACATCAGTGACATGTCTTTGGTTATAGTTTGGCCACTTCAGGGGAGGAAATGGGATTTGTCTCTACCTTACTGGGGTATGCTGTATATATTAAATGATGGGTAAATGTGAAGAGAGGTCTGATTTGCTGAAGGACAAACTTAGTTTTTCCTCTGTATTTTTATGTTTGGCCCAGCATAATTCTTCTGACTCTTGGTCTGTCATCATCCAGTCCAGTTTGCTGGTATCATCTCTATCTTTTCTGAACACAGAGATGCTTGCCAATTATTTTGTTGGTGTTCTAGATGTTGTGGGTTTTGCCCAAGGTCTTTCACCCAGACTGCGAAGCATCTGGGAAAACTGTCTCCTTTCTCTCCTTTCTTATTTTCCTGTCTCACTTCCTACTCCTCGCCCAGCATATAGCTGGAAGGAAGGGTTTTAAGATAGGGTCTGAGAAATCCCTCTGTAGGGAAGTAGGAATGGTGAAACAAAACCAAAATATCATGTAAGTGCTGGAATAGTTGGTAAAATTGTTTTTGCTCTTCGTTAAAAACAGAAGTGGTGTTTTACATAGAAGCTACGTAATTGAGTTGCCTATTTTAATGTATTACTAAAGTCGGAATTGCAGGTTTTTATCTACACTTCCACTTTTAGTATGTGATTTTTCCTGTAATATTAATGCAGACATGAATTAAAATCCTACTTGTATACTCTGTTGAGCAGTTTGGTCCATTTCATCGGTGGTTGTGCTTTTCCCAAGCTTAGCTGTTATACCTATTTTCCAGTGTGTTTTTGGTGATACATAATTTACTGAAATTGTTTTGAAAGAGCAGTAGCCATGCGCATTTAAGCTGATTCATTATGTTTAGTGTTTTCTTAATTTGGAGCTAACAATAGGAAAACAGTAGGGTTGTCAGAAGTGTGTATAAATGAACTTTGGCAGGTTTGATACCTTCAACTATACATATTATAAGTGTCTAGAATTCACTATCAGTTCAAGACCATCCTTCAAAATAAGGAGGTGTTTTGCACTTATGGGTAGGCCATTACAGGTTACTGTAAAACAGTCACAAGAGACTCAGTTGTTCTTCCTAATCATTAAAGCTTTTAAAACATTCCTTTTTTAATTTAGTACTAAAGTATAACATTGTATTGACTTTCAGATAAGTGTATATGGAGCACAGTTGTCATCAGAAGCTTGCAGAGAGCTGGGCTTCTCCAGTAACTTGCTGTGCAGTTCTTGCAACCTTCTTGGACAATTCAATCTGAATCAGTTGGATCCGTTCTGCAGGCAGTGCTGCCAAGAAGAAGCTCAGTTGGAAACTAGAAAGGTGGGTTTTGGACCAAATCCTTTGTGGAATAATTTAACGTGTTATATTTATGAAACTTTTCATTCTAAAAATATATGAGAATCTGGATTATAATCTGAAGAAGAAAATGCAATGTTTCTTGATAGCCCAATATACATAGGGTCTTGATTTGCAGACTTGCCGTAGTGCTCTAAAATAATGTCCTTGTATGAGCAGAGGAACCTTTGGCTCTGTGGCAGCCCGTCTCTAGTGTGAAGTGACTAATGGGAGCTATGTCCAACTTCTTTAAATTGAAAGATGTGTAGGATTTGAGAGGGGGATGGGGGGAAAGAGGATGAGGAAACTGGTGTTCTTGATTGAAGCTATTGCTTGGTCATTGACCCCTAGTGTAATGTCCAGGATAGTTCAGTTCAGTGCCTGGGAACAAAAGGCTGGTACAGCTGTCAGATCAACTCCTCAAGTGGCACAAACCTGACAGAACCAGGGCTGCTCAACTCCATTCTGCGGCAGCGAGAACAGCTAGATTCTAACAGCTCGAAGTACTGGGAATGATCTTTCTCAGAGCCCATGCTGTGCTTCAGTCAGGCTAAGGCAAAACCTTTCCTTTATCTGTAGTAAATAAATACCTGTCTTGCTTAAGGTACATCAGCAAAGAAGAATTTTTAGAGCCCTTGAAGAGAATACATGCTTTCAAATATGTTGTTATTTAGGAGTACTCTAGAATACATGGAAGACCAATCAATTATAAGGAAAGTAGAGACTTCAAGGGGAAGAAGAGATGCTGAAATTATTTTTAAAGGCTGGGAGATAGCTAAATAACTGACAACATTGAATTAATGAAGAAATCTAGCAGGTTTCTCCTGTCAGTTAAATTCACCATAACATTTAAGAAAAGGTCTGCCTAAAATTTTTAACAAAATAACTGATTACAGTGTTAGTTACAATATTATTAAATATCAAGAAGCAAGTGTTTGGGATTTGCAGAGTATTAATTATTAGTTCATTAATATTGAGAGACTAAGGTAAGAGGTAAGACTGTAAATTCATATATTGACAAAAGAATGCTTGCAGTAATATTTCAGTACAATCCTTATGGGACTTGATATCTAAGACTTTCTCTTTGCTAGATATATGAATCTTATAAAGGAAAGTTTGTTGATCTGGAAAATGCTCCAGTTCTTACATATATATGTATATACATATCTATACATATACAAACACACATACAAAAGCTGGAAAGTTTCAGAATAAAATCTAATTAAATGTACTAAGAGGGAATGGAAAAATAGGAAGGGATCTCCAACTGTACTGTGGTTGTGTACCACAACCAGTAACACTTGCAGTGGCAGCAGCAAGGCTTCCTGTCCTCACAATGAGTGGATGCTTTTATTCAGATAATATTCTTGCACTTTTGCCTCAGTGTGCATAAGATGTAGCACAAGTTCTTGTGGAGCAGGATAATTTCTGTGGTCATTTGTTGTGAAAATAAACTAAAGGAGTTATGCTGCATTTCTGTCAGTCTGACTTCTTGGCGGGGGGGGCGGGGAACCAGTCTTTTATCAATTTATCAGTAGTTTACTCTAGGATGTAACTTAGTTTGCACTGTAAACATTGCATTAATAAAAGTTGTATCAAACAACAGAATTTGAATCAATAGGTATTTTTCTGATTATACTGAATCAGACCTAGATTTCGCAGTGTGGATAATAACACTTTTTGTGTAAGACTAATAAAATGCCCTTTTGTGGTCAGGGCTTTACATTATAAATATTGGTAGTCTCAAAACTTTTTCTATTTTAGTCACGCTGAATGTAGCAGAAAAAATAGCATAGAGCTGGGCAGGGTCTCAAGGCTGTTTGACAAACCCCTTCACAGTGAACCAGCAGGTGTTGTATATTCATAGGAACCAAGAGATTGTATATTATAAGTTGGGTTTTTTTAAATCTGTCTGTGTGGTTTACCCAGTTTCATTTTCTGCTTGAGCTTTGTAGTAAATATCACAGAGTCACAGAATGGTAGGGTTTGGAAGGGACCTCTGAAGATCATCTGTTCCAACCCGCCTTCCAAGGCAGGATCACTTAGGGCAGGTTGCACAGGAACGCGTCCAGTTGGGTTTTGAAGGTCTCCAGAGAAGGAGACTCCACAACCTGTCTGGGCAGCCTGTTCCAGTGCTCTGTCACCCTCACAGTAGAGAAGTTTTTCCTCATGTTGAGGTGGAATTTCCTGTGCTGCAGTTTATGCACATTGCCCCTCGTCCTATCACTGGGCACTACTGAAAAGAGACTGGCTCCATCCTCCTGACAGCATATGAACAATTTGCTACTATAGCACAATTCAGTGTACATCTTGTAAAATTGAGATTTTGAGCTAGCATGTTAAGTATCAGCTTGAATTATAGGAGTGATTATGATACTATTTTCATGCATTTTCATGTTTGGTTTTTAATGCAGGCTTTCCGTATTGTGTCTGTGAATAGAAACTTTGGATTGTTCTAACATGATGATTATATGGTTGAGTGCTAAGTTACAGCGTCATTTCTAATATTCTTCTGAATGCTGTTTCAGAAGGTAGATTTTCTTATATTGTTACCACTGCCTGGAAGTGTATATTTCAGATTTGCTGATCGACTCTGACTTTTTTTTTAAAACTTGTAGAGTAACTTCCTTTGAAGACTAGCCAGTGGAAAGTTAGTGTTGGGAGAAAGGACCATGAATATTAACAGATTGTGTTCAGAATCATCACACTTTGGATTGTCTTGGGTTTAAATACAGTCCTGGTTGTAATAGGTATCTAATTTTTAATTTTTATGCAAGAGCAAAAACTTAAGCTCAATCTAATCTATAGTAGCTTCTTGCTGAAGTAGTATTTTCATGACGTGTGCAGAATGGAAAAACTGAATGCTACATTTTTTCCCTTTTCCTTGTTTTTTTAGGTTACTGTAGAAATCTTCTTTCTAAGGAGAATTTAATAGTCAAGAGTGAATGGATGTTGAAAGTCTTAAAAGTGTGTTTTTCCTACCCTCTTCCTTGTAGAATTTTTAAATTTTACTCTAAAAACCTGCATCTAGATGCAAGATGTCTGACTTGCTGATTAGGCACCTTATACGTTGCTGAGTTGCAGAGCAGTGGTGCTCTGGGCTTTGCTAATGCCATGACTACATGCTTGAACATCCTGAAAGTACAGGCATTTTTTCTTCTGAACCATGATTCCAGTACATTACCTACCTTGTTCATTATGTGAGCAGATACTTGTTCCCATCATGTGACACAGCATGTTGGTAGTCTGTGCTGCCGAGGGACTTGCAAATTATTAAGATTCCAGGACAGACTTCAGGATTTTAAGTTTATTCTCCTTATAAGTATGTGGCAAGTGTTAGAAATGGAGAAAGCAAGAGTTAGTTTACTGCATGACTTGCACCTGAGTTTTAAATGAGAATTTAAAATTAAAGATAAGGGGATAGCATGTGCATCTCAGAATTTTTATGTATCATTGCTACTTTTCACAAATGATCTGTGAAGTATGCCCAGTCCTAAAAATATTTTGTGCTGCATTGCATCAGTGGAACCTCAAATGAGATGTTTACGTTCTTCAAGTGTTTCATATCCTTGAAAGATGTTTATTAATCCTGGTCTTGTTATTGGTCCAGTATTATGTGAATTGACATTGCGGAAAGTAGCTGTGAGGTACTCTTGTTACCCAGTATGTCTTGCTCTTAACTTCTGCTGACACCTGTCCAGTGAAATATTTTAATTACTTCATAATTGTACTGTGGGTAAAACAAAAACATTGTTTTGGTTATTTGCTCCTTTTCTAGAGATTTTTGTATTCACTTTCAGACTAATTCAGAAGCTAGCTTAAACAGTATTGCTTTAGACAGCTGCAAGTTTTAAGCCTCAGTCTGTCAGATGCAGAGTACTGCTGGTGTGTAAAATGTAGAAGGATGAAATGGAGGTGAAGCTAACTGTGTGTGAAATTGTAGTAGCAGGAGAGATTGTCCATATTTTTCAGTAGCTGAAAATAGCTGCACTCCATCTGCAGCTTCACTTATGCTGTGTGATCATTTCAGACATAGCTACAAGCGAATTCCATTAATTGTGTATTATAATCTAAGATTTATCTCAACAGTATATGCATGTCAAAATCTGAATTTTAAGAATTAACTCTATGATGAAATTTGCAATACATTACATTTCACAAGTTGCACTGTGCAGGATTGCTACAATCCTTCAAAGTCATACATATTTCTAAACAGAGCTTTGAAATATATTTTGCTAACTAAGATGTGAGCTTCAGCATTTTAAATTTCTATTGTTAAGTATTTGTCATGTTGTAATGTTATGGCTTTTGGTGAATTAGATAATGGAACATCAGGTGTAAGCAAAAATTGGCCAGGAAATTTGAGACACGAAAATGGATAGATTAGATGGCAAATTGTCAAGGGTAACATCACACTTGTCTATCATACACCATTTCTAAATAGTTTATGATTCTGATGTAAAACAAGGCAAACATAATGATACAGAAGTCTATATGCATACTTTTAGTTACATAGAGATGGGTAATAAGTGCTCCACTGTACCAGTCTAAGCAAAACCATCTACAATTCTGAGATTTTAAGCAACTTTCTTGTGCATGTGTTCAGACTTGTCAAAATATAAGCTATCAAAGCATGGTTTAATAATTTACTGGAGTATCTGGCCTCTGCATTGCTAAGATAATGAGAAATTTAGGATTATTTTTCACCGAACTTGTACTAGATTTAACAACATAAATAACTAAAATATTTCAGAAACTTGAAATGGATTATTGTGCTGTAAGAGAGGAGGTTTCCAACTTGATGTTCTTCCTGCACCAGTAAATATAAAAGTTTCCTTTCATCTTGACATGAAAGTATTATGAAATACTAACCTGAAATAAATGCGGGCAGCTTAAACTTTGGCTATTACTTTTCCAAAAAAATCTTGAAGCTCATCTTAAGGTTGCTTTACATTCAGATGCCCATTCTACATCCTACCTGAACC